TGTATATTTCAGGAGGAGCATTGGTAAACGGCCAGGTACGATGCTATGTGAATGGACATATCGCGGTCTTGAAAAGTCTCATAATTAGAAACTTTTTTAAAACCTAATTATACTCCTTCCTTAAGTATCAAGTATAAAGAAGACGTGATTCTCTATTGATTGACTCAAAGAAAGCACATTTTTGTTTGTCGTTTCTATGAAATATATTTGAATTTCCAAGACCATCGAAAATCAATGGGAAAAATGCATGCTACTTAAGTAATCATTTTTTACCAAGCACGCTTTCTACAGGAGATTGAAAAGAAGTGCTTTTTAAAGCCGACATCCTGCCGAGTCCAAAATGTCATAAGAGTATGCCTTATGATAATCAGTATCACAACCGCAACCAAGTAATCCTTCCTAATCGAAACCGCATTTCAGAATTTCAGCCAACATTTCATGAGATAGGTCACGCACTGTATATAGATGCTTCTTGGTAAAGTTTAATAAACCATCTGACCCAGTTATGAAAAACCCGGCGGCCTCGGTGCGACTCGAATCAGTGACAGTAAGGGCAAGGCTTGAGTACAGCCAAGAGCCTGACCAACTGAACTACGAAACCCCGACCGACAGCCGTAAGACTGATTGCTTATTGATCAAGTTACCCGCCCAATCTACCCCAAAGTGCGCTGTCGTGGGTTCGAATACCATAGGGTTTTTCACAATTAGGTCAGATGTATTATTTAATTCTACCGAAACGCCTATTGCTTGAGAGCATGGTAGTCATCCGGTGGATTATAAGGCAGTCGGCTTACTGTATTAGAATCAATGGATTCCGGGAGTTTCAGTAGATTATGTGGGCAAATTGACCCAAGCATGACGAAATTCACAGCCCTCGGTCAGGGCCTCATGGTTCAGGTGACTGCAGCGTTGGCTGTACTCGGTTCGATAAAAATTAAATAACTACCGATCAGAGAAAACGACGGACAACACACTAACATCCAGTCCAATCAAGCAGCAGTAGACTCGGAAGAGGACGATAGACCCGAAAACTCGCGCGAAGTATCCAGCAACTTCGGCCCAAGAATCGTTCGGGAATCTGCTCGGTCTAAGCTCCGCTTTCTTTATGCAAATGCTCAGAGTTTGTTTTATAAGCTAGATGAGCTGAAAGTATGGATAACAGATACGCAGCCGGATGTCATTTCTATCACAGAGACTTGGTTCCAGACCGAAGTCTTGGATGCCGAAATAACACTTGAGGGATACCAACTTTTTCGCCGGGACAGACTGCATAGAAAAGGAGGAGGAATAGCGGTCTACGTCAAGAGAGCAATCATCGCGTCGGAACACAAAACCGATTGCTCCGGCGACTGTGAAGCAATGTGGTTAAAACTGAGGATGCGTGACGCACCTAATTTGAATTTTCTGACCGTATACAGGCCGCCCAATCAAACTGATGAAGTTGACGAGACGATGTTTGGGCTAATTAAAGAGGTGTCACAAAACCAAGAGGTACTGATAACCGGAGATTTCAACGCACCCATGGTCGACTGGAACAATTTATTAGTAAATGGTTCGCGAAATTCGTTTGATTCCAGGCTCTTGAAACTAACGGCTAATCTCTTTCTGGTACAAAACGTCACGTTCCCAACCAGGATCAGAGCGGACCAAAAAGCAAATTGTCTGGACCTTGTCCTTACAAAAGACTCGATTAGCCCTGGCGAACTTAGGTACATAACACCGCTCGGTAAGAGTGACCATGTCATGCTGTTTTGGGAATACCGCCTATGCAGCCAACAAGCGAATACGACTGAGCCTAGACTGAATTTCTGGCGAGGAGATTTTGCCGCCATGAGAAGGGAATTATCGGCAGTGGACTGGGATGACTTTCTTTCCGGACATCCAGACGTTGATTGGAACGCTCTCAAAGGAGTTGTAACAGACATCATGCATCGAAACTGTCCGACAAAGAGAGTCAAAAAGAATAATCGTCCTGCCTGGATAACACGGGATATAAAGAAAGAAGTAAACCGGAAAAACAAACTATGGCGAAGGTATGCAACAATAAAACAACCATCCCATTACGAGCAATTTCGTCGAAAGCGAAACGAGGTAAGGGGGGCTATCCGCAGGTCGCGGAAAGAGTATGAAATGCGAGTTATGGAACGGGCCGTCGATAAGCCAAAAGTGCTCTTCAGTTACATAGACAGTAGGTTAAAGAACAAGGAGACGGTCGCAGTGTTGAAAGGAGAAAACAATGAGGATATCATCGAAAATGACGCTAAGGCAGAAAATCTAAGCCGGTTTTTCGTATCGGTTTTCACCGATGAAACGGACTTTGACGAGGCTGGATCTCCTGCTGGGACAACCGACAAAATAATAGAAAACATCGACTTCACGGAAGAAGATGTGAGGAAGGAACTTCTAGCGCTTAAGGAGGGCAAGTCTCCGGGCCCAGACCAAATTCCGGCAAAAGTGCTGAAGGAGTTGTCTTGCGAACTCGCCAAACCGCTTTGGCACATCTTTAGGTCCTCCTTTGACCGAGGCATTCTCCTCTCTGATTGGAAAGTGGCGAACATATTCCCCATTTACAAGGGCGGATCCAGAACAAGTACAAACAATTATCGGCCGGTGAGCCTAATGTGCATTTGTTGCAAAGTCATGGAGAGAATAGTCAAAAAATCCATAATGAAGTTCCTTGAAGAAAATAATTTCTTTGCTAGTTCTCAGCATGGCTTTCGACGAAATCACTCCTGCCTAACTAATATGCTTCATTCAACGGAACAGTGGTCTCGCTCGTTAGACGCAGGAACAAAGGTCGATATCGTTTACATAAATTTCAAGAAAGCCTCTGATAGTGTTCCACACCAGCGGTTACTTTAAAAGGTCCGAGAGTCATGGATAAGGGGAAACCTATTAAACTGGGTAAAGGACTTTCTGACTGGTCGATCACAATCTGTGTGTATTGGTAGTGCGAAGTCATCGCCAGTGCCAGTTGTGAGTGGAGTTCCGCAGGGCTCCGTACTCGGACCAGTACTATTTTTAATTTATGTCAACGACTGTATGAATGGACTGGACTGCAATGGAGTCATATTTGCTGATGACATCAAGTTATGGCGAGCGATCAACGGCGAACATGATGAACGGGCCCTGCAAGTAGGACTGAACCGCCTATGCGAATGGTCTGACAAATGGCTGCTAAAGTTTAACCTAGAGAAGTGCGTCGCGCTGCGACTCAAAACGACTGGATCTGACGGAGAGGATCACCATTACCAACTTGGTGGAAGGTGCATTTCAAATGTAACCGAACAAACAGATCTTGGGGTTAACATTCTGTCGACCCTTAAGCCTTCATCTCAGTGTGTTAGGGCGTCCAAAAGAGGAACTAGTGTTCTATTTGCCATTAAACGATCTTTCGTGGACATAGACAAAGAATTATTTGGAAAAGTATACGGAGCGTTCATTCGCTCGCATCTGCAATCCAAGCGTGGCGCCCGTGGCTAAAAAAAGACAATAAGTTGCTAGAAAGAGTTCAGAGGAGAGCAACGAAAATTGTAAAAGGCCTCAGGACTTTACCTTACAACTGCCGACTTAGGGAACAAAAATTTTTCCTCTTGAGTACAGGCAGGTTCGAGGAGATCTCATACAGGCCTATCGGATATTGAGGAACCGGGAATGTGCCCTAAACCCCGACGATTTCTTCACCCTGGCCACAACAACAAACCTGCGTGGGAACTCTCTAAAACTTAGAGGATCCCGATGCCGCCTGGACGTTCGCAAATACTGCTTTTCACAGCGAGTCGTCGGTGCCTGGAACGGGCTTCCCGAGGACGTAATAATGGCGGATACCACGGAGACGTTCAAGCAAAGACTCGATGTATATTTGCTTGGACACTATCGCTTGTCTGAACAGAACAGCTCTGTTGTGCTAAACCAACGCCCTGCATACTCATACCGCTAATGCGGATGACTGTCATTACATTTTACTGAAATCATCTACAACTGAATGTTCTCAAGTTTTGGTTCTACCTTTTCACGGAAAATACTCTGTTAAATGTGTACGTTACTGACAACATTTCAGTACCATGTTTATTTAAAGTGAGATATTGCATGTACCGTTTACAATAGGGTTTTCAAAGGCATTGCCTATTACCCTTAAAATATACTGATCTATACTGACCCACTTCCCCCTGCAACAGGGAGATCGGTGAAACCAACTTCTAAGTGACTTTACATTGATAAACGGTCAGCCACCTTCGCACAAACGAAGATAAAAAAACAAATGTGTATTTCAAACACTAGCCAAGGGCAGCGATTGAGTCATGGCCTTCAAGTACGATGTTTCTGGGTAAAGCAATGTTCACGCTTAGTAATGATCCCCTAGCACCGTCCTTCCCCTCTCGTAAGAAAACTCCCTTCAGAACCTAATTTTCGTCCAAAAGAAAAGCTAGCAGAGACTAAAATCTGCCAGCGGAAAGACTGATGGTCCTCCAGAAAGGCAGCTGACAGTAAACGCCCTCGAAAGTTGTGAGACAGGCGCCCGAAAGCGAATCCATGCTTGGAGAAGTAATGAGCAACATACGGCCTACTTAAACAGGTACAGTAGGCATTCTTTGTGTGTCGAAAATACTTGGAGGCGTGGCATACTTCACTGCCACCCGGCCGACATGATCCTGCTCAACACAAAGCTGTAATTCGACTTACTGCGGCGGCCTAACTGGCGATGAAGATAAAGAAGGCCAAGACTTCTGGGAGATATATTATTAACAGTTTGGTGAGGGTGGCAGTAGCAGTGAGAACGACGGCTGAGCATTGTACAGTCATTAATTCAACAGACAAAGTAAGATACTTCAGAAACACAAAGTACACACGACGGCAGCGCACCGGAGGCGGAGTAAATTTTTCCTCACAGCTTGAGATAGCGGAAAGAGGCAGAAAAAAACTGACTTAGTTGGGGGGAGGAGGAGGTGCTGAAATCCAGGGCGTGCGCTGGACGGGATAGAGGTATTCTCGAAACCTGGCTACTTGACGTCGTCATTAGTAGCTGCTGTGGACTCCGGCGCTAAACGGTAAGGGAGAAAAGAAAGCAGAACAGTTAAATTGGCAGCATTCATAAAAAGCATAAGATGTGTCAGCCAACATGAATCGCAACCAAAACCGGTTGCATTTCTAGGCGGAGATGAATAAGGACGGGAGGAATTACCTGTATGCGTTAGGAGAGTTTCTAATACATACGAGCGCACCTCATCTACGTCGACGGTGATGGAGCCAGGTATTTCGCCGCCATTCTCAAGTATGCTTCGAATAAACTAAAAAAAAATCATGAGAGGTGTGTTAGCTCGGAATAAAAGTTCGTTACGTTCTTCGCATACACAAGGTATTAAAACAGTTAATGCTCACAGACATATTTTAGTATAAACGCGTCTTTCAACGTCTTCTGCAACAACATTCCGCCACCAAATTAGCCTGGTGATGCCTTCTTGGCAGAATTAATTAGGACTTGGTGGAAAGTAATAAAAAACAGCATCGCAATCCTAGTCCATCAAAGTGGTTTCATACACTCCCAACCAAACGATAATCCGGAGGACGGACAGCAGAACAAGTTGAACGCGGCACTTTTTCGAAGCCAAATCCCTGCGGCAGATACTTAATGACCTTTAACGTGTGCGAAATGACACTGTGCTGGTGGAAGATGGCTGCCTTTCTTTGCACAAAAGACGGGTATTTCCTCTTTAGAGTAGCTTTTAAACGGAAAAGTTTCTAGCAATACACATCCTCTTTGAGTGTCCTTCGTCAGCTCATAATGCATGAGTGCTTGGATATCCAACCATGAATTCTACATAACCTTTTTAGGATGAAAGTCTCCTGGACTGATCGGACCGCACGACTGATCCATTGAAGAAGAGGCTTAGTGTTACGATCAAGAATTCAATTCTAGTCACCAGCAATAACGCTGTTCAAAAATGGATTAGGGACTGCCACGTAAGCAAAGAATCCTAACAATTGACAGATGGTTGACGATTCCTTCCGACAGGTCGTACAAAAACCAACTTTCCAGATACTGACACTTTTCCGCACCTTCGTCAGTTCGCGTACGGCAACTTAAAAGCTAACGTCAAACTGTTAATTGATTTCCCTCGTTGTGGTGAAGGGGCCAGCTCTGACAATCCCATAAAGTCTCTCCGGATTGATTCATTTTGGTCGTTCATGTGGGCTAACACTCTCGTATCTAAAACGAGAAAACCCCTTACCACAAGGTCTTCCAGTAAATATGAGGGGCACGTATGATCCGAATTTAATTTTCCGCCATACAATAATTGATACCCCTATGGGACTGGTGACGGAAAATATGTCCAATGTGCTACCTATTTGGCTCGAACACGACGCCGAGACCTCTAGAACTGTTGACAATAACTTTCGTATAATCTGCTAAAAACATAAACAGCTAATAATTTAATAGTGACTGTTTACCATCTTCGAGTAAAGCTCGGAAGGAACTTTCGATATAAGCGGGTCTAGTCCGTTACCAGTGAGCAGCATATCTATTACACGTTAATACAACTACTTATTACATTACAGTAGGCTGGATGTGGTTACACGCACTAAATCCACAAGTCGAAGAGTACTACATTGTACTGCAACCAGCATAATTCGGCCCAACGAAGCGACGATGCTCACCATTGACTCAGGGGGTGCGTAGTGTTGACTTGTACGTTACTTTGTCTATCACGACGTAAACCTACAAAACACCTCTCTCTTTCCAAATCCACCAAGCCCCTATGGTAAAACAGAGGGAAGGCGAACGAAGATGGCCATGAACGCTTCGAAGGTGACTTTGAAGCACCGGCAGTAAGACATATATGAAAAACAAGTATCAAGTAGGGAGTAAACCCGCATTGAAATGGCAATTCCTGGCCTACTGTCCATCATCGGCCAGACACGCTTCAGTTTTAGATCTGAATAAATTGGGGTTCGAACCCGAACCACTGAAAATGGATTTGAACGTTCTGTCACTGAACCACGAGTTATTTGTCCTGTTGATTTAGATTGGAAGCAATAAGTATCCCGGATGTAGCGCTTCGCTGACCTGAAAACAGATCGGAGCATGCTCGTTCCGTGCTCTAATCCAGAGCTCTCGCAGGCGGTCGCGTAGCGGCAAGTGAGGATGTAGAATAAATACCGACAAGGATCGGGGAGAGTGAAATCAGATTGACGAAGAACCACTTGCGGAATAGCCAAAACCTCCGATCAAAAGTGCTAGAACAACGAATTCGTGATTCAGTGGCGCCGCGCTTGACTCAGCCCTCAGTGAGCAAAGTGCACGAGTTCAGACTGCAAGTGTTACCGTAGAGGAGTTGGGGTACCCTAGGTGGCGACAAGACTGGGCGTTCAAGTCTTTCTTGTACCTGTCGGTGTTCCTTCCATAGGTCGCTATTTGACCGGCTGTGGGGACTATATTGGGACTCTAAGGAAAACCGGAAAAGCATTTTTCAGGCTACAATCGGGACAGTGAGACGTCCCGTGCAGAATAGTGACCAGAATAAAAAGGGAAAGATGGGTTGAGCCAACTACATATGCTGCCGCCAAAGCATTGCCATGCGACAGTGTGTTTAGTGGGAAGTACGAAATAGGCCAAATGATACGCATAAAGTTGATCAGAAAAGGGCCTGTTTTAAGAGACCTTTTGTCCCTCATCCTTGGCTGCAAGGAAAGTCGGACTTAAATATAAACAACGGAATGGGACAAGCAATAGATAGGAGTCCAGCTCACTCCAAGCACAAAGAGACCGCAGGAGTTGTCGTCAGTTTGGCGATTATGCCGAACGGTCCGCAGATTCCACGGCTCCATGACACCCAGAAGGCACTTGTTGCATTGCCTAAAATTGGGCAACAAACTTCATGACTGCCAAGGAAAGGACAAGAAAGGTCTTTGCTACTCTAACATCGAAAATTCCCAGACTACGTGATTTGGACCCGCCGTTGCTGTCAAACACAAACGAGCCGTTCTTGTATTTTCGGTCCGAATCCCTAGATTTTCCTCTTCCTCAGAACATCAAAAGTAAGAACGGTGGTGAAAGAGATGAAATCTTTGCTAACGACTAGTGCAGACCTACAGTCGTAGTTTCATATACGACGAACTAATAACTGCAGTTGTTACAAATGCCACACCTAGGCCGGCGAATCCCATCTCCTGATGATGGAAGTGCTTCGAAAGTCTCCCACTGGCGTAGATGGCAGTTACTTGCACATTTCACTACTTAAACCAACACAGCAGCCACCAATCTGTCCTGCCCACAATGCCGCCGAAAACGCACATCACGCACCGGCCTGGTTGGTCACTTGTGACTCCATCGCACAGAACGTGACGAACCGACAGTCGGGCCGCCGTTACCGACGATTTCTACCATGTGCTCCACAGCAGGGTGAGAGCAGGGACGGCGACTTGTGCGTGATTTATTTTACAATGATGGTAGACTTGCGATGCATCAACCGCACCCTCTCCTCCCCCACCTGGGCCCGGTGTCATGAGAGTCAAAAAACCAGAGGCGAGAGATTTTGTAGGCGGCTGGCACGGCATAAACCCGCACCTATGCGTGCCACCACAGCACCTGGTCCACAACAAACAGTGACCAGAATTTCACACAAGAAAAAAGGGGAATACTCGGATTCCAATTGGCGCGGCGTAAGTCTGCATATGGGTGTGCCGTTACACCCCATTGTTTATATTTGTTATGCGTGCACAGTCCTAATAACGCCTGTCAGACCTCGACCTAGCCCCTGTTTTGGTCCAGCACGTCTACAACGTGGCCTGTTTTAGGGATACACACATACGCGCACGATTGTTCGACCATCAATTCCAGCGATATCCACCACATGCACGACAGCAGGGTAAACGCAGGGACGGTGACCTGTTCGTGAATTAGTTTACAGTGATAGTAGACTTCCGCTGAATCTACTGCACTCTCTCTTCTTCGCCCAACTGAGCGGTACCTGTCGAGCCAATGCCTGGAGCACCAACATACACTAGTTGCACCCGACTCAACTGCCAACGCTGCCCATGCATACTCAGTTCCCGTATGGGCCAGCTTGGCCACATGCGCTTTCATGGAGATCTGCGATAAACCGCCGCAGACAAGACCGCATCACAGATTTCCCATCAACACATGCACCACACAGGAACACGTCCGACATTACATACAGCAGACACGGAACAAGCGCTCCTCACGTAAGTGGGAAGTGTGTTCCTCGGGCCCTGTGCTATTCTAGCACATAAGAGATCTGAGCAGCCCGCTCCAATGCGTAAAATTCTGACGCCGTTCAAGAAGTTGGTCGCGTGCATGGCACGCGTAGAAGATCTGTTTAAGCACTGTCAGCTGCTGCGCCCAATCTCAGCCTGGGTTGGTTGGCCGGCCTGCACAGTCAACTGGCGCATGGCAGAGGGAAGAGAGAGTAGGATAGACTTTAAGGAATCCACCCCAAAGGTAAGTTGGATCATTCCTCACTATAGGTCTGACGCGCTTTATATCATCATGGTGTGCTAAAAGACGTGGCTTCGTTAGCTACCAAATGATGGGGCAACTCGGTTCTCTCAGGACAGAGAGTCGGGCTGCAATGGCTCGTTTTTAAGGTGGCCTTTATGACACTCCCGCTCGATTTGGATCCGGATCGAGTCCGTTGGTTATTTTGCTGAAATTTCGGCCCACCGTGAGCGGATCAGGCGTGTGGCACGCACAGATGAACCGTTTGGCCTCGTCAGTTAATGCGCCCGAGCATGCTTCCGGTCTTCTTGACACTGTCTTAACATAGGGTTCAGGTGGGTATAGGAGAGTGTGGTAGATGATGCGCAAGTTTACCATCAGTATCAGCTAATTCACGCGCAAGTCGCCGTCCCTGCGGCCAACATGCTGTGGATTATATGGTGGACATCGCCGGTAACGACGGCCGAACTGTAAAAATCCCTGGTAACCCACGTGGTGGAGTGGGCTAAAGAAGGTAGGAAGATGTTTTCTCCGAAACCCATCGGTTTAGCAGCCTCAAAACCTATTCATTGGGTCAACCCAGTCTTACTAACTTTTTTTCACTCCTTGCAGAACTTCGTTGAAGATAGAAAACTGTTCGGTGTGATTGAAGAAGACTGGATTGTGGGGGATAGAGGGATGAATGAGGAAAATCACCTGAGGAGTCGAAGAAACCGCCTTACCGCCGAAGTGTCAGGGCCGAGGGAGTCGAGGACCCAAAGTTCACGTGACCTAACCGAGAGAGCCTGGAACCAAGCCCACAAAAAAGGGGTGAGAGGATCAGCGACGACGACAAGAATCAAATGAAGGGACAGGTGGGGAAAATCTTGGACAGACATATGATACAGCCGAGCAGACAAGGGTCATTTTCGGGCTCCGGCTAATGAGTTATGCGCCCCTCGGTCCCGTCAGCTGACATAATGAAGACAATTAACAGTGTCAAGTTTTTGTCTCCTTCGACATGCAGAGGGATTAACAGTCCTCCAGTTTAATGAGACTGTGTTCTGGCTTGCGTTTGTGGTCTTTGTTCTCCAGATGGGAAAATAGAAGAGCGATTGTGAAAGCAACAGTAAGCAAAACCCCAACGCTCTTTGAACAAAGGCCATGAAATACTGCAGTTTAAACCTGCATTGTAAGTAACAGTCATCGTTACCTTGAAAGAGATATAGAACGGGCTGGCACATCTTCGTTCCCACCAACTACGCGTAATACTGATCTTCTAGCCGCAGTTGAAGAAAAAGACTAGACTTGGATTCCATAACTTGACAGTGCTGCCTCATTTTATCAGTCAAAAACTAGTCATTGAAGTTTATGGCTCTTTTTTGTGCTGATCAGAGGTTCTGATTCCAAATAGCACAAGATTTACCACCATCGTGGCTGTGAGTCGACGAAAAATTTTCCAAATCCATCCAAACTACTCTGGTAAAAAAGTAAACCTACTGCATACATTTACACCAGCAAATAAAGTCTGTAGTTTATTTTACTTTGACTACCCACACTCCTCTATGAGGGTAAAATGTGCCAGAAACTGCAATATCTGGCAGGTCAACAATTTTGACATGAAAAAGTCAAATTCGGGAACGCACGTTTTTCGATTATTCATCCTAGGTAAACAATGTAAGTTACTGTAAAGTCGTGAAAACTGAAAACCATCGAGAAACCAGCTTCTAATATAGGACTAGTAAGAAATGGAATTCACTTCGCCTTCTCCCGCTGGTCTTCAGTCTGCCAGGTCTGTCTGTCATATTCAAATGCCAACAAAAACTATGCATAGATGAAAAGTTGTTGGAAAAATCCATTTCAATCTTACATCTCCCTGATTGATCACTAGTAGAGCACAGAGTAAAGGGCGAAAATTGGTGCAAGAATAAGCAATTAGCAAAGCAGGGCCACCTTAAGGCGAAATGTCATTGCAGGGACGAAAGAAAGGACAGCTTTGCGGAATTTGTTGATAAGTGTCTAGAACAGCACGCATTTCATAGTGGCTAGTACCTGAACAGGGAATGAGGAACATTAATAAGGGCGAAAAAAGCGTTTCGGCACAGAATAAACAGGACAAGTGAGCGGGTAGGCGCATAAAACTCGTAAACTATGCTAAAGTACTTTAAAACGCCCGAAAGATAAGACCAACGGCACGTGTGGTGCACATCGGCTAACAACGCCGGCGTAATCGATCCAGCGGTGGCGCTATAAAGACCCATTATTAGAACTACTCACAAAACTTGATCGGGGCGGTGCGGAGGGACCCGACGCAGTAAAACAGCCTAAGCGAGAGAGGACGGGGGTTTGGTGGCCGTGTTGCGGCGAGAGACACAAGAGCCGAGAGGAAAACCTACCAGAAGGATCCAGTGATTGGAGCTCTCCTCGCCGCCGGAGGAGACCTCCTGTAGGAAGGGGCAGAGGACGAGGCGTCGTTCAGACCACCGCCGCCACAGGGAGTAGAATCTGAGCACGCTGACGGTCAGCGAGTCGGGGTCCTGGCCGTGGGGAGACCGTGCTGCCGAGAGGATGCAGGCCAGGGAGAGGGAACTGGGCAATTCGACAGAACCCTCGGAAAGACAGGTAGGGGAGACCGTGCTGCCGAGAGGATGCAGGCCAGGGAGAGGGAACTGGGCAATTCGACAGAACCCTCGGAAAGACAGGTAAAAGCCTTGGACTGGGGGGGGGGAAAGGAAGGGCACGGGAGTAAGACAGGGTTGTCTTGTCTGTGTGTGCATGAAATAATACGGGGGAGGGGAGTGTGCGTGATTTGAATAACACTCGACAGACATCTAGAAATTATTTCAGGAGTGTTCGAGGAGACTTCGAAGCACTGCGGAAAGCAAGCTTGTAAAAGTCCAGTCATCACTGACACCACGCGGCAAGTCAGGTGTGGCCCGTTTCCTGGGCGCTTGCCGTCAAGTTTGGCCTGTCAGCGACACAGACGACAATAATTCGCCTGGCGATCTTAGCATGATACAAACGTCCCGACAATCGCGATTTACAGCCTCACAATCGTCTATTGTCTACAAATAGAAGGCTGAAATTCCGGAGGTAGTCACAGGGGTGTGTAAGTCAATGACCATATTTGATTTCCTACTGCTCGGTCTCTGCATATGTTACTGGCAAAGCCAGCAAGGACAGCTTATTGATCTCCTCGATGATGCACGTGCAGTTTGGAAAAAGCGAAGGAAGGAATTGCAATAAATAGCTATGGTTATAAAATCGAAGCCGTGAAGTGTAGGAGACACAAGCTTAAGGAAAGCAGCGGTAAAACGTTAGCCAATTTCACTGTCTGTATTATCAGGTTAGCTATTTCCAAGCCGCGTATTAGCTCTGCAAGATTTTCGACCCGGCGACTCTAGGTATGCAGAGTTGCTGGTTCAGCAATCCCTAGAGCGCTGAGTGTCTGACTTAGCAATAATAGATTCATGGCCTATCGAAAAGTTCATGGGCTGTCATTCGGTTAATGGAATAATAGATGCTCAGCCTTGGTAAACTAGGATGAGTCGGCTTCCATTAAAGGAGGAACTGTCACCGCAGAACATCAGCGCAAACTTCTAGAGCCGACTTTGACTGCCGATGAGGCGGAAGTTTTAGCATACATCGACAGGTGAACAATTCTCGCATTATTACAAAGTTTTAAAACAAGAGATCCGCGACAGCTAAAACATCCGAGCAAACCTAGTAAGTTTCCAATATCTTCCTCGACGGCTATTTAATGTCACGATTCCTATTAACCCGCAAGCTGGCTTCGAGTCTTCGGTGTTCTCATTAGTAGAAAGGGTATGTGGATCAGTGAGACCTCCCACCGGACACAAAACACCCTCGACAAAATACGCTGTGCAAAGTGCTCGGGCGGACAGCGTAGCGTAGTCTCACTGGTGCATCTGTCAATCCAGACGCTGAGATAAATAAGAATTAAATGCAGGTCCACAAACTTGGCAGAAAAGTTGTTCAGACAGTAGGGCTGACTCTGCGAGTCAGGGCGAACAAGTGCCCAGCTGGCGGGCGTGCTCGCGATAACTCATGAGGCCAGTCTCCGGCAAGACATTCGAAGCTCGGTGGTTTGATTCCATCTAGTAGCGGGCGCCTCCTGGCTAAGAACCAAATATCTTCTTTGGTTTGCCCCCCCCCCCCTTCCGTCCGTACTGCTTCTATGTAAATACTGCATCGCATTTTCTCACAAGTAAGAGTCAAATCACCTTGGAGAGAACGTAACAGAATCCGTTCACGATACTGTCGGCCAGTTCACCGAGTCCACTCTGTAGGACATCGAGCTGGAGATTGGTGACATGGTGTGGGCCCAAGACAAGGATATCGTATTCGCTGGGGGTGGCAGCAACAGAGGAAGAAGTAGAAAGGCACTTTCGAGGTCGTTTCTCAGGGGAGCAGTTGGAGGGAGATTGGTGGCTATCAGCCTCTCGAGGAGGTTCATCCGCAAGCATGCGCCAGGATGAGGGCCGGGGGATAGTAGAAGTGGCCTCCTCGGTCGTGCCATGGGTGAGAAAAACCCGTGGCACTCGAGGTGGATCCGAGGACGACAAGTTCTCGTCAGGATCTGGAATTTTAAAACGCAAATTCATGAAGCTTACTGACTTTAGCCAATACATTCGCATAGTTTAATCAATAAAAAGGCAAAGCTATCCAGACCACGCAGGCATGAGTATCGATGTAAACGAAGCAGCTTACGGAGAACAACGTTCATGAATGTCAATTTCCGAGGTAATGTCAGGACGCTCAAAGTTTATTGACGTTCTTTTTGACCGGAGAGAAAATACTCGCATTCAGCGACTCTACTGAGGTAAGGTGGAGCTTCGAAACAAACTATGTGCAATGCAGCATGAGAAAATTGAGATCAGGAGACATAGATAACTACTTTTCAGCCACTTATGCCATTTTGCATTTCGAACTGTCCGAGGCAAAGGCAATTTTTCGGCGATCAAGAATAGACAAGGTAGACAGGAACAGATGGTCAATGGGCTTAGCAACTTGCCCACTAAGCCACCAGATTACACGGTCGACTGAGATCTCAAATATTTAGCCATGTGATCGTGGCGCTCACTGATGTGGTTGATTGTACGACTAATTGCAGGTGACTAGTTTTTCCTAAGAGCTCTCATCAAGAGCAATCGCAGGCAGACATACACTGATGAACAACAGTCTCCGTGTCCTTTGACCCCGTCGGAAACACATCACAACCACCCACTGCTATTCGCCATCCCGAAACCTCAGTGCGCTCTAGATAGAGGCGGCACGATCGACCGGACAATCCATATCGACCTGAAGTCAAGTCAGCTGGATGAACGCCATTCCAACTTCGATTTGAATCGCCTTGATTGCATTTGACGAAGTTTGCTGTTCGGTTACCTGATAGAGCTCTAAACTCGATAATCAACGGGATCCAGATTAAAATCCTAGGTCTCCTAGGTTGTGGCGTAAGGAGTAGATGGCCCTAGATGGCCATCTTAATCATTCTCGTCATTATCAATAATATTTCGCAAGTATCGTAAAGTAAGTCTTGTAGAAAAAAAGACCGTCAAATACTCACTTAGCGGCACAGGTCAATGGTCTTATATGCCACTTAGGTTAGAATGAGGCAGAGATTCCGCCGGAAAGCGGTAGTTTTTACACAAACAGAGAGAGTAAAATGGCAGCATATTAATACATCCAGTTGCGCAACTGTTTGACGATTTTCGGAGGTTTTTACTTGCACGTTAAAACATGATAGTCAACGCATGCGTTATACACCAAACGCTATGACAGGGCCAGAAAGCGAGGTGGTTGTCGAACAATATTTCAGAGGGTGAGGTCTCTCCAGTCCGCTTTTTGTCTCAAAGCAAAGAAAATCAGATGCCAACTATCCAGCCGACTACATGCGTTCAGTCAGCACTTTAACAAGAATAAATCCCGTTGGATTTATTGCTTCTTGGAAGAATTTGGCGAATACTGGGCTACGCAGACAAAAGTCTCACTATCCTTCGTCGAGATTGTTTAGACCCAACGCACCAGAGAACAAAGTTGAACACCTCGGGGATATGAGATGTTTTCTGCTCAAAGACTTGAATTTCAACTTCACATGAATCGGACAAAACAAGAAATGTGTCATCCGTCGACTGAGCTGACAGATCCACTACAAAGTCTGTCTTCAGACGCTCTTGTGCATTCATGACTGTCAGTCAAGAGCAACCCTACCGTTGAAGAAAAGAAAGGCCATAGTAGACTTCGAAAAGACGAAAATCCCATATTTTTGCCGTCAGATACAGATAACGTTAGTTAGTTTGGACAAACAGTTTACGAGAGAAAGGTGAATGAACTACATCACACTGGTCCGTGAAGCAGAGACAAGCAAGCGGTAACTCCCATGAGAGAGGGTCAACCAACTCACGGATAACCCATAAACCAGTCTGAGTTCGTTTTGATAGTTCTGGTTGGTACCAAAATCATCATTTTGCCAGGTTGACGTTTTTAATCGGAATGCATGAGCAGGACTATCCTCTAAAGCAAAGAGTCGACTTCACTGATCTATAATCCAAGATTGGGCACACCTGCTCTGGAGTAATGTGTCGTCCAACAGGACGGTCAAACGTCCAATCTCGGCTGCTGCTCGTAGCAAGTGAAAGGGACAATCCATTCGGAGAATGGAAGGATGCTTAGTTTTGACGCCACTTTTTTGTTTGCGAACGTGCTAGAAACGAAGACGCTGACTGCACTGAGTCAGACTTTGGATGAGGATCAGACACTCAAGGGGTAGACGGAGCCGAAAACATAACCGGTTGTTAACGTCTGTACTCTGTGTCTGGAGTCAATCACTTCTGCCCTCAGCTGGTGGGTAAATAGCGGCTTTCCTCAAGCGCCTTGCCCCTTTTGTTGCAGACACATTCATAGGGAACATCTAAATGCGTGCCTTGTTGAAACCGCCGAACTCCCGATTGTGTTAAGTCAGGATAAAAAAACGTCAGGTGGAAGAATTCCCAGCACATTTGAGCAATGCTCTAACACAGGCCATTAAAAAGGTAGGCATTTGAGTAACATACGGTGTCCCAGATAAAGTGGCTTCGAAAACCCGCAGCTTAAGGACTCCGCTACTTTGCTATGTAAAAAAATAATCTATAGGATCAAGTATTCGGACTGCACTATGTACTACGTCGGTCAAACGTTCCGTACTCTTAAAATCAGGGTCTTAGAACACAGCCAAAAACTGCAAATCGTGTAACAGACAAAATAGTAACCTCCACACTATAAGGAAAAGGGTAAAACAGGAAAACACCTGCTGATTTAGGACAGCGGCCGGCCAGTCTGCGGTTCTTACGTGAGTCTTCATACGGTTGACCTTTACGTCCCTCTGCTGATCCGGCACGCTGCCTTCCTGTCAAGTCGGCAGGAGTCGTCACGTGCTGTGCGACCGATTAGACCAGTGCGTTCAACCTCTACTTGATCATACCGTTAGTGATTTATATTACTGATGAAAGCCTCCAGTCGCTCTGTGACGAATAGCTGGTCGACTTCCTTTCCCTCCCCACCTTTCCTCCCCTTCCTTAAAACTGACTGAATCCTGACAATTTTGCCATTTTGATCGTGCTTGCTTAAACAGGCAGGGCACCAGACCCGACATGAAAAGAAGTACGTTTGTCGAAATATTGTCTGATAAATTACGTCATCGCCAGATTCGTGGATCCTTCGTGCCTCTGAAGCATGCTAGCGGAAAGCTCTACTTTTTTTGCAACCGAAATATACTAGCAGAAGAAAAATGTGGTAAGTAGAGCGTTTTGTCAAAGTGCAGATTTCTGCCATAAGCGCAGTTCGCCTATTTCGGTTAAGCACATTTAGAGTAGCAATGTAAAAATCTCAGCTACCATTGTCAGAAACCCGGTCAAATCCTGTATCAAATGTCTATGAAAGTTCACGGAAAGCATAAAGTCTGACCTAGCTCCACGATAGGCTCCAGCTGCTGAGGGTTAAAAAATTTGTCCAGAATGACGCCCGATGGGGTAGCCAGCTCAACGCGAAAGCGATTGGGACGCAAACAGGAAGTGCGGATGGACCTGCACATACCCCTTCTGCCACGGAACGGCAGTAGGCTCCGTACAACATAAGGTCCCCTGGAGGTGAGGGACGAATCTATGGTTCCTCGGAGCATGACACGTGCACCCGGCTTGAAGAACTGAAAAGTAAATGAATACGGAAAGACTGGCGTCGATAAACAGTTAATAGACGATATAAAAAGTCTATGCGAGGGATTTTGACAAATAATGTTGAATTCAAACGGTACACTTCAGATTTAGTTTGAGTTATAACAGTAAGTGCACTTCACCAGTATAGACTAGCAGAAGCTGAAGTTCGAAGATCTACTAAAGACTATGGAGTGAATACCTAAAAATGTCATATTTACAGCAGAGAAAGCGTTCAGGGCCAGAAAACCTGTGCCGCCGGGCGCCACAGAGCTGCCGAACACCCGCTCTCGCACTTGTGAGGGGGAGAGAGGGGCACCTGCCATCTGTGAGAAAAATCAACAACCCCCTTCCCTGGCTGTATTGTTTCTCTCGTTTCGCATTGTAGGCCACAAGTAAAAACTACTTCTAGTTACTTGAGGCATTTGAGATTGCAGCGAGTTCTGAATGGATGACTGTGATGTGAAGTGGTCGTTTGAATTTGAGAGCTGCACTATGTCATCCGACCAAACAGTACTCGAATAAACGGCGTATAGTAGGTGGCATTGAAAAGAAGGCGTAACGAGGCAAATTGACGAATTTCTTAGACTACGCAGTTTCAGGCGTGTTTCTGAACGACGTATAAAACAAAAAAATAACAAAAACAAAAGTAGGACCATGTAAATAAGGGTGAAGAATAATAAGCAAAAAGCAAATAGGTGCCTCGAGACCCAACAGCACACGGAAGAACTGTCCAGAAGTTTTACTTCTAAGAAAAAACGTAAACTGTCAGATAAGAAACGGGATATGAAGGTTAAGTGGCAGATTAGTTACGTCCATCTGCTTTATCTTTAGCCTCCCAACTTCACAAATAGACTCCTTATCAAACGCTGGCTTTGAACTTGTGTGATATTCGGGGAAAACACCAATGACGGAGACATGACATGTTTTTTTTGAGGTAGGCAACCTGACGGACCATTTTAGGTGGTATTTGACTACAAACCTGAACTGACTTAAAGCGTGTATGTTGGGCCGTACAAACGCTGATGGAAAGACTAAAGGCGATGCGTTCTACCTGAATAGATAGCACCAGCTCTGACATTTCCAACCATCTAGGCGGATGATATTCAGAGAAGTTTTCAAGCCCTTCCAAAGGGCTTTTGAAATCAGAATTTTTTGTGTTTTTCAGATGTAAAACGTACAAAATACCAGCACGTAAAAAGTAAGGATAAGGCATGTTTGTGGCAACGGTATTAATAGTCTCTAAACTAGTGAAGTAACTAAGTCTAAATTAGACTTGCAACCCTGATCTTGCGAATGACCTGCAGTCGCCTTGGTTTCGTCTAAAGGAAATACAAACTTTCAGCAGGGCAAAGTCGAGTGTGACAGAACCAAGAACAAAAGGACATCTATGGAAAGAATTGTGGCCTACTTCAGATATTGACTGACAATATCCGCAGAATGTCTAACATTCTGCAAAGGGAGAGGTCTGCCTTTAAACGACAGGCTGCAGTTAGCGAGACGTCACGAAATTTGTTGGCACCAATAAATTCTGCTGTAGATGACTGTTTTAAGCTCATACCGGAAAGTATTGCTTCAAAAATCAGAGGATCGACTGCAGTTTGTATAATTCTAATTTATTTGTGAGCAACCTTCTCCATGGCCGTCACAATACCACGGACAATAATTTCTAATAAAATACTACACCTGAACACGAAAGAAGCATGTTAGCCTATGTGCAGTCGACCCCGAACGTCCGTGGATGATAATATGGTCTTCATCAAAGCTAGCTGCAAAATAGGCATGCAAGAATTCGGCAACAAGAAGCAGCAGAGCAAGCCTACTATCCTATGAGGTATAGCAGCCCAGCGACGAAAAATTAATGAAAACCCAACTTACAACAGAACACTGAGCCTCCAAGAGTATAAAAGCTGATAAAGGGCTCAGTACTGCACGCTAATTACCACGGCATGACCTTTTTTGTCGTCAAGGCCTTCGCAGCCGTCCTACTCGAGGGGTTTTCACTTGTCCAATTATGCGCTGAAAAGGGACTCAGCGCTGCTTTTCGCAAAAGCGCCACTTTCTGGATCACAACATTCGGGTTCGTTGAAATGTTGCATGTAATCACAGTTGTAAACAATCCACCCTCACACGCTCTGCTGACCTGCTAGTATTTAATATTGACCGCCGAAAATACTTGCGACTAAGCATTTAGCACAAAACATTGCTACTAAGTTTGCCGCGACAGGTCGCTGAACAGGGAGCAAAGTTTGTTTGAAAAACGAAGACAATAATCGATTCGACGTACCAGCAGTCTTAACTAGGGGATAAGCCCGTTTTATTAAAAAGCGTCAGCAGACAGATTGGTGTCACGGCAGAATAAAGGTTGCGAGCTAGAGCTCTTCAGTACAACGATAGCATTAAGTGTTGGCAAAGAAAATTGCAGACCGACAGCATGCCAGCAGGCTGGTGGTAATTGCATTTGCATTTGGTGCGCCTCTGATTCTGCTTAATGTCGCAGGCCGTACCTTTCCACGCGTGACGATCCGTGAACACCTATTTGGTGAGCTCGACCCACTGTTTCCTCCGACGACAGAGAGTCAAATGTCCAAGCTCAGCGAACAACCTTCATGTTTTGACGGACTACGGTCAGCCTCCAGATGGGCAGCAACGCCGAATTCATGGAGCGGATGACAAATGATAAAAACAGACACCTCAGAAGTCTTTTTAGGATGACTTGTCATACCCTTGCGATACTGTTACAGCGAGTGAGGACTGTCTCGTTCGAGACGGAGTAGGTGTACTTCAATCGAGGGATGGCCTTCGGGCAACAATGATCAAACGTTTCTAGTTTTCGCTCATCCTCAGTACGCACAGTTAAGCATTCACAAACACATAGGAGGACCGGTCGGACGGATCCTGGTGCATGCGGGTCTTTGTGAGGATGATAGAATTATGTTTGCTCAAGCACAAGACGAGAATGAGAGCGCTCGATGCTACTGAAAGTAAATATTGGGATGCACACGATGAGAAACATCAGCGATCTTGTACAGTAACGACCATCTGGGGGTGTTGTGTCGAGAATGACCACAGATTATCCACCAAATTCATCCTCCTGGTTTGTTTTCTGGTGAGAAGCTTTGCAGCCGATCGAAAAATGGCCAGCTAAATTTACTGATAAGACTGAGTGCAGTAGCTAACGCGTGCTGCATGCATTATGGCAGTAACTAGGGGCTCGTAAAGTATCAACAAGGCCTGGTTCGCTCAGTGTCTGTTGAACGAGAGCTTCCGTTTTCGGTCGGTCGCAAAAGTGTCACGGTACGCGTTCAAACGAACAACCCTAAGTTTTTCCCAGAAGACAGTAAACAGCAGTGTCTCATCCGACAAATCAACCTCAAAACTTTTCGTATAATCAACAATACGCTCACATATGGCCCAAAACAAGTCCATCTCAAAAGATTTCTGTTATAAGGGCGACATCCAGGAGATTATACGACCAGCTGCTCACTGCTAGTAGCCGAAAACAGGCCACAACCTCAAACTGCCACTTTTCCAAAAACACGGTGAACATTTAAGCAGATTTCTAGCTAAACTAGCTACAAAACCGTTAATTTTCACTAAGACAACAGACCTGGGCGTCCAGGGCCATGGCCGTTATACAGGTAAAAGCCGCCTGCGCCCGGAAGGTTTTTCGATAGGTTGAGAGCAAGATTCTCAAAATGCTCGAGGTATAGGTAATTATTCAGACACGCGGATTAAACATAAACAATTATGATTAAATGTCTATGAAGACCCAATGCCAATAAAGTCAGATGTCGTTTAATTCTGTATCTTAGGTACCAGCCGCTAAAACTACTGACCGATCCGGTACCTACAGGAGGGCATCAGTAAAAACAAGGAACACTGATTCCGTA